CGCAGCAGGGTGCTTTTCAATTGTGAGTATGGAGATATTGAAAAACTTTATTACTTGCTGATCAAACTAGGAAAATTAAAGATTACATTGGCTGCATTCTTGATTCCTACTAGTTTAAGAATCTAAACTTGGAGAGAGGCATTATTTATTTGATTTTAAGGGTCCTCAAATGTAACACCTCTTAAAACATTTGTTGTATATGCTAAACAGTATCAGCAATTTTAATGAAAGATGTGGGGATGTGGACTCTGTTGAATGCCTTCAAATGATAGTTTGATGATGCCTGTCATTTTCAAGTACCAACTCTCAAGATTAAGATTTCCATTGTTTTTTTCAGCTATCACAAATATTTCCTTATTTAATAACAGTCCTGCGTGATTTTTTTTAATGTCTACCAGCACTAAATGATGAAATGTTTCTATCAATTTTTATCACAGACAACTCTATGAGGAAGTAGTTGATAACATTTTTGTTGTTCTCTGTAATGTAAGGTGAATTTTTATGAACATAAGTTATATGAAATAATCAAGTTGAGATATTGTAACAATTCTATTGACAGTAGAGCCACAGTCATTACTGCCACAACCAGCACCTCATTTTTGTCACAACTGATAAATATTTTACATGCTGTTTCAGCTAGCAGCTTTTTTCTTAATAATATAACAACCAGCACATTATTTTGTCACAACTAACACACTATACATGCTGTTCCAGATTGCTGTTGATACGTCTAGCCTGCATTCTTGCCTTGCCAATTACCTCAATATCTCTGAAGACACTGTCAATAGGACACACTTATTTGAAATGAATATCTCTTTCTTGGACTTCAATAATATTTGCCATAATGTGATGCCAACTACATATTATCCAGAGGTAAGTGGACTTGTGATTCCTTCGGTTAGTATTTTGTTTAATATTCACTTCAGTGCAGTTGTTGCACTTACCAGTATGTGATTGATGCCAGTGCTTAATGTTTGTGCAGGGTCATCTTTTCATAGCTGATGTTTATCAATGGTGGTGAGATCGTTTTTGTCCTATCCATGTTTTAAATTTATTCATAAAGTTTTTACAATAGATAAATTCAAAGAATATAATTTTAACAGTTCTTTTTATAACTTTGAATTTTCTGGATAATAGTAATAAATATAGTATTTCATTGCTGCAGTATGTAATATTATTTTTTCACATATGTATGATAATCTTTCAGATACATTATTTTAGAATTGTTTAAAATATATAACCCTATAACATTTGTAACATTTGCTTTTATGGCAAAGAATGGAACTGTAATGCAGTCTACTTTTCAATTTTGTTGCTACCACTGAATATTTTAAAAATTTATGACTTAAGAAATACAGCAAGTGTAAAATTCACAATTTTTCCCCACTGAAAAGATAGAGTCATTACTATTTATTATGCATGTTTTTAAAGAAAATTTTTTTTTCATTTTTCTCTCCAGTACTACACATTCTGTGTGGCTCTTGCCATGATATCCAGTGCAGTGTTTCTCCAGGCAAGCAGCATACTGAAACTGGTGCTACTGTTGCTGATGGGTCTGTGCTACACAGTGCTGGTGTTGGTGACCCACATCAACTTGTTCAGGAATAGAGACTTCATTGTGTTTGCTCATAGTGGGTGAGTTTTAGAGTGTGTCACATTTGGCACTGTTGTCACAACTAACACATCTTTGTCACAGCTAATACACTGCTCCGTCACAACTAACACACTTTGTCACTGCTAACACACTTGTCTGTAACAACTTACACTTTACACATACATCACAAATAAATGACTCATTTCAGGCCCATAGCTAGCAATTTCATAAGAGGCTTTTTTTAAAGTGGACCTTTTACCATGAAACCTTCGTGTACCTAAATGAAATTTTACCCAGAGGGGACCTTTTCCAAGCAAAAAGGCGAGTCTTTGGAATTCCCCGAACCCCCTGGCAACGGGCCTGTATTTCTTTGAAGTAGAAGTAAAACAGTTACATTATTTTGTTTTTTAATTTAGAAATTAACGTTGTTATAAGTACAAATCTGCTCTTTTGATTTCTTTTCAAATTTTCCCATAGTGTGATTTTGCAGTGAAACATTAGGGATACAGCTGTTTTGCATTTAAGAACTATCATTATTGCACATATAGGTTAATATTTTTCACGCTGGTTTTTCTATTCCAGCCAAGAGACCTCAGATCCAAGTACGACCATTCCAATAGAGTGGGTGACTGTTATCATTCTACTCGTTTTCGTTATCGCACTCTGCATACACGCACAAATCGTAGAGTCCACTGCCAGGCTGGACTTCCTGTGGAAGTTACAGGTAATGATTGAGTGCTAAAATACAGTCACTGTGATACTAATGGTTAAATTTCAAAATGTGAATTTAAGTATGATAGGTGAACAATATTGTGTATTTTAACATGTGAAAGTGATATGTAAGACCGCATTCCCATAGATTTAGATCAATCCATCTAAATCAACCTAACTCCCTGGGGATTCACGCTAAATTGATGTCAGCCGAGCATGCACGGTAGTTAATTACCCCCTTACAGCTTTTAGGACAGACATACACTTAAGCCGGCTAAGCTGACAGTAATCTAGTGAGACTCCCCACAGGGATAGATCAATCTAAAATCTATGGGAATGGGGTCAAAGAGGTGATGTCATAAAGATGTAGACCTAATTTCATTTTGTACAGTTATATCCACTTGTTGTTGTAGATCACTTTATGTGTGCAATTCAAACCATAAGTTAATGCTTAGAGTTAAATTGGCAATGGACTTGTGAAAATAAATTAGATTTTTGGGTGTAACTGGTCTAATGGGAATAATGCAAACATTGGATGTTGTTCTAAAATTACATTTTCATTACAGTAATGAAAATCTTTTCAAAGGGGAAAATGATCTATCTTTCAGATACATAATTTTGGAATCGTCGAAAATAAAATTTATGTAGCATTTGTGTTGCTTTTACTGTAGAGAATGGAAATACAAGATGACTTGCTTTTCAGTTTTGTTGTCGCCACTCAGTAGGGATGTTCTTATTTCAAGAATTTATGACTTAAAAAAATACAGTGTCTGTAAAATTCAGAATTTTCTTCCATCGAGAAGATTGAGTAATTTTTTATCTTTGGGTCACAAAATCTGGATTTGTTATTGTCATATTTTTTAAGTTCCAGTAGACAAAATATATGAGATGCAGACTACTTTTCATATTGGTTGTGTGGCAGGGATTAAAGTTAGGAGAAAGAAACAATGAATTTGTTTCACCTTAGTATCATTTTATATTTCTAGGCAACTGAGGAAAAAGAAGAAATGGAAAATTTGAGAGCGTACAACATGAAACTTCTTGCCAATATTTTACCACTTCATGTTGCTGAACATTTCCTTAAAAGTCAAAATAAAAAAGATGAGGTAACTTAGCCTATAATTTTTATCAACTAATGAGTGGATTTTAGATTTTGCTCCATAATTCAGAATAGAAATTTAGCTCTGAGAATTTCCTTTGCTGATTTTAGAGAATATATATTTAAGCTGAATTTTTTTTCCCTAAGTATTTGTTTTTGGTTTTATTAAATGCATAGACATTCTTCTTTTCATCTCTTATACATTTTTGCCACATTAGACTATGCCATCTTCTCTACCACATTTTATATTGTCTTCTCTACCACATTTTATATTGTCTTCTCTACCACATTTCAGGATCTGTATTACCAGGGCTGTGATAATGTGTGTGTGATGTTTGCCTCAATACCTAACTTCAGTGAGTTTTACATAGAGCTTGAAGGCAACAATGAAGGGGTGGAGTGTCTCAGGTTGCTCAATGAAATCATTGCAGATTTTGATGAGGTTTGTGGTAAATTATATCTGGTGGTAATATTATAAGACAAGTTCTCTCTCTCTCTCTCTCTCTCTCTCTCTCTCTCCACAAATACCGTACATCAGACTAGCTAATTAAGTTAAAATTTTATTTATAGGTGCCCTTTCAACTTCTTTTGAACAGCTATGCCAAACATATAAAAAGACTTGTGGAATTACAATTTGATTAAAATTTATCTTTTCCAGATTTTAGAAAAAGAGCAGTTTAAATGCTGTGAGAAAATTAAAACAATAGGTTCTACATACATGGCTGCATCAGGCCTTACGGAACAAACTAACTCTCCCAAACTGGACCATGTTCTGGCTTTGGTGGACTTTGCCTTTGCTATGAAAGAGCAGCTGGCCTATGTGAATGAGCATTCATTCAACAGTTTTAAGATAAGAATAGGTAGGTCGGTATTTGATTGCAATCAAAGTGTAGGCGTATGAAAATCCCTGGCAGATTTCACGTTTTTACAGTTACTTGTTTTTTGTTCTTTTCTGTATTATTTTTTATTAATTACTAATCAGTTGTCATATTGTTAAAATTGAATTTCCTAACTTTATTGAGTTTTTATGTGTAAAGTACATTAATTTTAAGGTCCTGTAAATGATGGACATATGTTATGTCTGCTTTCTATGAATGAAATGAAATGAAAAGAGAAAAATTACTCTAATTACTTCAAAACAAATTTAAAATTTTGCATGTAATATAATTATTTAAGTGCCGTCTTTTTTATCATAAAACTTATGCTTTNAGAGAATGAATTAATTCTATGTGTATGTGAGTTTGGTTGAGAACTAGGATTGGAAAAACTTGTAATGGAAGCTAACTCTTATTCAGGGTTGGAAGGAGTGCTGATGAGGGGAGGGGGCTTTTCTGGGATGAATCCATTTTATTTGAGGGTATTCAAATATACACTTTGTATTCTTCATTTCTGCTATTTATTATATGCTGTGAAAACAATTTATGAACTGAAGTCCATACCCTAGTCCAAATTTTTATAAAGCTATTCCTAAGATTTAAAGCTATTGAGGAAATCCTTGGATATTTTTAAAATCACCTTTACATATATACTACGTGAGAAATCACATAAAGTGCAGTAATGTAACTTGATTGATATCATTTTTTCATCAGACGTGTACATGTGACGGAAGTGACACTGCTGTACCTTAATGACGACTACGAGGTGGAGTCGGGGCAAGGGGATGAAAGAAATGCGTATATTAAGGAACAGAAAATTAACACATACTTAGTGATAGAACCCATGGATAGGAATTTTCAGGTAAAAGGAAACTGCTTTCTATTTTTAACTGTAAGTCATTGTCAGTGTCTATATAGTTTATTTGAGGTGAATTGTTTGGTGATCTTGGATTGTAGAGTGCAGTAAGGTCGTTTGTTCAGCTCCTAGTTGGCTGATACCAAAGACTTACAATTCCTGATGTGACCCAATACATAGTATTAACCATTGTCAGAAGAAATAACTTCTATCTACATTTTTCTAGTTACTAGTAAGAGAGAGAAACCCACTGATGAAAATAATCTCTAGTTTTACTGACTTCAATGAAACTGCAAAAATTATATGATTCCTTTAGTTATGCAATGTTGTTGAAATATCCCAGAGGAAATAATTCTAGTTGTAATTAAACATGTGATATCTTTGTATGTGTTTTTTTCTACTTTTAAGACAAAAAGTCCCAGTCCTGGAAAGTTGAATGATAAGAAGTCTGTTGATAATGGACTGAGTAAGGAAATGAGGCGTCTTGGAGCATATGACTCGCAAACAAATATCCATAACAAGTAAGTGCATAAACCACCACAAAAGCCATAATATTTTATATTTATGAAGAATGTTTTGCTTATACCTTTCAGTATATATTTTTGACCCTCATATTTAATGCTTTGCCCCTATGAACTTTTTAATTAGTCCAAGGTTTTCAAACCAACTCATATTAACCATTGGATTGTACTGTTTCACAGAAATGTTTCTGTGCCCATACTATTTTATTCGTGGCATTCAGCTTCCACACTAACCAATAACATTCCCTCTACCATTGGGCATGGCTTTTTACTTTTATACTAACCAATGATAATCTCCCTACCATTTAGGCTTGGGTTTGGTGAGCAGAAGAGCAGCAAGAGCCCTGAAGAAGAGGTCAATGAATACCTGAGTCGTGCTATTGATGCTCGGAGTATTGACCGCTTGCGATCAGAGCATGTGAAACGTATTCTTCTTACATTCCGTAAACCTGAACTGGAGGAAAAGGTGTGCCCACTAACTGCAGTAGAATGAATGGCCAAAGATAGATAGATATCATTACTGTATAATTTTTATGACTTCAACATATTAGTGTAACTTTTTATTTTAAGATTACATGCTCGTGCATTAAAAGATTTAGCTTTTGGGGTGAAAATTAAGCAATCGAATTTGAACAAAGGCACTCAAACTGAATTGTGATTTCATTCTGCAAATCAACAAACAGACATAAACACTATGTGGAGTTAATATTCGAGATCTAGAAAAATTAATACAGTTGTAAAAATTATAAATCCATAGTATAGTATTCTTATGGTATTCTCAGTTTCATTCCTACCACTCTGTATGTATGTGTAGGGCATGTGATGTTCATTTAATCAGCTTATAAAATTCCTTTCTAACATATAAACGCATTAGAGGGTATTTTCTTCTTCTTCTTCTCTCTCTCTCTCTCTCTCTCTCTCTCTCTCTCTCTCTCTCTCTCTCTCTCTCTCTCATGTGCATGCAGATTGGAGAGAGAAAGAGAGGTAATAAAACAGACACATAGATGCAGGTACATGTGAGTGCTGTATATATCTTCAGTCAATATTCAGTATAAATTTTTTTCTAATTTTCTAGTATTCTCGTGTGCGTGACACAATGTTTACCTCCCATATGGGCTGTGCCCTGGCCATGGTTATCTGTATATGCTTGGCACAAGTGACAATTGTTCCAAGGTGGGTGCAGGAGGTATAGGAATATGTATATTTGCAATATATATATCAGTACGTATAGGTATATGTTAAATATGGGAAAGGTGAGATAAAAATAATATGTATATGAAAATTCAAAGGTAACAATTACTGGAAGAATTAAAGCATTTGGGAGAGATACGTAACTTTAAAAACATTGATATAAATATACTTTTTTGTACCAAATGTGTGCATTTGCATTTAAATATGTAATAGCTTAAAGAAACCATTTTTTGTTTGAAATTAAATATTTAATCTTTGTATGGCATGTGCTTCTTATGTGAGTAGATTACAGATTTTTAACTTTAAATCTATAATTTTTCTTTTTTTTTCTAGCTCTTCACTTATGACCGTTGTCTTTCTTATTTGTGTCTTCTTGCTTGTGTGTCTTACCCTAATGGTAGCAGCTGAACACATCAAGGTATGTCATAACAATCACAATCAACAAAATCAAATGTAACAACACTAGGTATAGCCCAACTAACACAATCAACACAATCAGATGTGACAACAGAAAGTACTTCACAACAAACACAATCAACACAATCAGATGTTACAACACAAGGTATAGCACAACTAATACAATCAACACAACCAGATGTGACAACAGAAAGTACTTCACAACTAACACAATCAACATAATCAGATGTTATTACACATGAAGGTATAGCACAGCTTATGCAATTAATATAATCAAATATTACAACACAAAAAGATATCACAACCACTACAATAACACAGCCTTGAGACTATACTGTCAAATGCTGTCACCTTTTTCAGAGTGATTAACAGTTTTGTTATAAAATGGAAGGAAATATACGTCAAAATAATATCATGTGACAATATTTAATTTAGATATTATATGTTGTAAAAAATGACTTTTGACTGATCAGGGGAAATTCATAGGAAAATTTTGTTATTCTCTAAGTAATTCCCCGTGATGAGATCCAGTCTTTGGTCAGTATTTCTATATTTACAATTTAAACTGCTGTCGTACTTTTTAGTTTTCTCCAAAAAGTGTCAGAATGCTGTCTACTAAAATAGCAGTGAACAGAGTGTTGGCTCATGCCGTCACGGCAACCACAGTGATCATTATCTACGCAGCAGGGTGCTTTTCAATAGTGAGTATGGATACATTGAAAAACTTTGTTACTTGATGATCAAACTATGAAAATATTACATTTGGCTTCATTTTTGATTCCTACTAGTTTAATATTTTAAACTTGGAGAGTGGGGATATTTATTTCATTTTAATGCCTTAAAGGTCCTCAAACATAACACCTCTCAAAACATTTGGTACATATGCTATACAATATCAGCTATTTTAATAAAAGGTGTGGGGATATGGAATCTGTTGTATGCTTCAAATGATAGTTAGATGATGCTTGTCATTTTCAAGTACCAACTGTCAAGCTTAAGATTTCCATTGTTTTTTCAACTATCACAAATATTTCCTTATTTAATAACAGTCCTGTGTGATTTTTTTAAATGTCTACCAGCACTAAATGATGAAATATTTTTATCAATTTTTATCACAGACAACTCTATGAGGAAGTAGTTGATAACATTTTTGTTGTTCTCTGTAATGTAAGGTGAATTTTTATGAACATAAATTATGTGAAATAATCAAGTTCAGATATTGTAACAATTCTATTGACAGTAGAGCCACAGTCATTACTGCCACAACCAGCACCTCATTTTTGTCACAACTGATACACAATTTACATGCTGTTTCAGCCAGCAGCTTTTATCCTAATAATATAACAACCAACACATTATTTTGTCACAGCTAACACAATATACATGCTGTTCCAGATTGCTGTTGATACGTCTAGCCTGTACTCTTGCCTTGCCAATTACCTCAATATCTCTGAAGACACTGTCAATAGGACGCACTTATTTGAAATGAATATCTCTTTCTTGGACTTCAATAATATTTGCCATAATGTGATGCCAACTACATATTATCCAGAGGTAGGTGGACTTGTGATTCCTTCGGTTAGTATTTTGTTTAGTATTCACTTCAGTGCAGTTGTTGCACTTACCAGCATGTGATTGATGCCAGTGCTTAATGTTTGTGCAGGGTCATCTTTTCATAGCTGATGTTTATCAATGGTGGTGAGATCGTTTTTGTCCTATCCATGTTTTAAATTTATTTATGAAGGTTTTACAATAGATAAATTCAAAGAATATAATTTTAACAGTTCTTTTTATAACTTTGAATTTTCTGGATAATAGTAATAAATATAGTATTTCATTGCTGCAGTATGTAATATTATTTTTTCACATATGTATGATAATCTTTCAGATACATTATTTTAGAATTGTTTAAAATATATAACCCTATAACATTTGTAACATTTGCTTTTATGGCAAAGAATGGAACTGTAATGCAGTCTACTTTTCAATTTTGTTGCTACCACTCGATATTTTAAAAATTTATGACTTAAGAAATACAGCAAGTGTAAAATTCACAATTTTTCCCCACTGAAAAGATAGAGTCATTACTATTTATTATGCATGTTTTTAAAGAAAATTTTTTTTTCATTTTTCTCTCCAGTACTACACATTCTGTGTGGCTCTTGCCATGATATCCAGTGCAGTGTTTCTCCAGGCAAGCAGCATACTGAAACTGGTGCTACTGTTGCTGATGGGTCTGTGCTACACAGTGCTGGTGTTGGTGACCCACATCAACTTGTTCAGGAATAGAGACTTCATTGTGTTTGCTCATAGTGGGTGAGTTTTAGAGTGTGTCACATTTGGCACTGTTGTCACAACTAACACACTTCTTTGTCACAACTAATGCACTTCTTTTTCACAGCTAACACACTGCTCTGTCACAACTAACACACTTCTTTGTCACAGCTAACACACTGCTCTGTCACAACTAAACACTTCTTTGTCACAGCTAACACACTGCTCTGTCACAACTAACACACTTCTTTGTCACTGCTAACACACTGCTCTGTCACAGCTAACACACTGCTCTGTCACAACTAACACACTTCTTCGTCACTGCTAACACACTGCTCTGTCACAATTAAGACTTTACACATCCATCACAAAGAATTGACTCATTTCAGGCCCTTAGCCAGCAATTTCAAAAGAGGGGGTTCTTTCTTTTTTTTTACCACGAAACCTTCGTAATAAATAAAACTTTACCCAGAGGGGACCTTTTCCCTGCAAAAAAGCTGCTCTTTCAAATTCCCAGAACCCCCCTGGCAACGGGCCTGTATTTCTTTGAATTAGAAGTAAAACAGAGTTGCATTATTTTGTTTTTAGAAATTAAAATTGTTATAAGTACAAATGTGCTCTTTTGATTTCTTTTCAAATTATCGCTTAGTGTGATTATGCAGTGAAACTTGAGGGATACAGCTGTTTTGAATTTAAGAACTATCATTACTGCACATACAAATGAATATTTTTTACATTGATTTTTCTATTCCAGCCAAGAGACCTCAGATCCAAGTACGACCATTCCAATAGAGTGGGTGACTGTTATCATTCTACTCGTTTTCGTTATCGCACTCTGCATACATGCACAAATCGTAGAGTCCACTGCCAGGCTGGACTTCCTGTGGAAGTTACAGGTAATGGTTGAATGCTAAAATACAGGTAATAAGTGATATTTATGGCTGAATGTTAAACTGTGAATTTAAGTATGAAAAGTGAATGATAATATATTAAGTGATATCAAACAGGTGATGTCATAAAGATGTAGACCTAATTTCATTTCGTACAGTTATATCCACTTGTTGTTGTAGATCACTTTATGTGTGCAATCCAAACCATTAGTTTATGCTTTGAGTTAAATTGGTCAACAGATGTGGGAATGGACTTGTGAAAATAAATTAGATTTTTGGGTGTAACTGGTCTAATGGGAATAATGGAAACTTTGGATGCTGTTTTAAAATTACATTTTCATTACTGTAATGTAAAAATCTTTTCAAAGAGGAAAAATGATGTATTTTTTAGATACATAAGTTTGGAATCATAAATTATTTTTATGTAGCATTTGTGGTGTTTTTACTGTAGAGAATAGAAATACAAGGTGGCCTGCTTTTCCGTTTTGTTGCTGCCACTCAGTAGGAATTTTCGTATTGCAAGAAGTTATGACTTGATACAATAGTGTCTGTAAAATTCAGAATTTTCTCCCATTTAGAAGATTAAGTAATTACTGTAGCTTTACCCTGTGTTTTTTTTATCTTTGGGACACTAAAAACCTGGATTTGTTATTGTCATATTTCAGTTCCAGTAGACAAAAATATACAAGATGCAGACCACTTTTCATATTGATAATGTGTCAGGGCTTAAAGATATGAAAAAGAAACAATGAATTTATTTCATGAAAATATTCCTTAATATTTTTAGGCAACTGAGGAAAAAGAAGAAATGGAAAATTTGAGAGCGTACAACATGAAGCTTCTTGCCAATATTTTACCACTTCATGTTGCTGAACATTTCCTTAAAAGTCAAAATAAAAAAGATGAGGTAACTTAGCCTATAATTTTTATCAACTAATTAGTGGATTTTAGATTTTGCTCCATAATTCAGAATAGAAATTTAGCTCTGAGAATTTCCTTTGCTGATTTTAGAGAATATATATTTAAGCTGAATTTTTTTTCCCTAAGTATTTGTTTTTGGTTTTATTAAATGCATAGACATTCTTCTTTTCATCTCTTATACATTTTTGCCACATTAGACTATGCCATCTTCTCTACCACATTTTATATTGTCTTCTCTACCACATTTCAGGATCTGTATTACCAGGGCTGTGATAATGTGTGTGTGATGTTTGCCTCAATACCTAACTTCAGTGAGTTTTACATAGAGCTTGAAGGCAACAATGAAGGGGTGGAGTGTCTCAGGTTGCTCAATGAAATCATTGCAGATTTTGATGAGGTTTGTGGTAAATTATATCTGGTGGTAATATTATAAGACAAGTTCTCTCTCTCTCTCTCTCTCTCTCTCTCCACAAATACCGTACATCAGACTAGCTAATTAAGTTAAAATTTTATTTATAGGTGCCCTTTCAACTTCTTTTGAACAGCTATGCCAAACATATAAAAAGACTTGTGGAATTACAATTTGATTAAAATTCATCTTTTCCAGATTTTAGAAAAAGAGCAGTTTAAATGCTGTGAGAAAATTAAAACAATAGGTTCTACATACATGGCTGCATCAGGCCTTACGGAACAAACTAACTCCCCCAAACTGGACCATGTCCTGGCTTTGGTGGACTTTGCCTTTGCTATGAAAGAGCAGCTGGCCTATGTGAATGAGCATTCATTCAACAGTTTTAAGATAAGAATAGGTAGGTCGGTATTTGATTGCAATCAAAGTGTAGGCGTATGAAAATCCCTGGCAGATTTCACGTTTTTACAGTTACTTGTTCTTTGTTCTTTTCTGTATTATTTTTTATTAATTACTAATCAGTTGTCATATTGTTAAAATTGAATTTCCTAACTTTATTGAGTTTTTATGTGTAAAGTACATTAATTTTAATGTAAATGATGGACATATGTTATGTCTGCTTTCTACGAATGAAATGAAATGAAAAGAGAAAAATTACTCTAATTACTTCAAAACAAATTAAAAATTTTGCATGTAATATAATTATTTAAGTGCCGTCTTTTTTATCATAAAAACTTNTTTATTGAGTTTTTATGTGTAAAGTACATTAATTTTAAGGTCCTGTAAATGATGGACATATGTTATGTCTGCTTTCTATGAATGAAATGAAATGAAAAGAGAAAAATTACTCTAATTACTTCAAAACAAATTTAAAATTTTGCATGTAATATAATTATTTAAGTGCCGTCTTTTTTATCATAAAACTTATGCTTTATGCTTTATTATGTTCTTAATTCTGTCACAGGTATCAACATAGGCCCTGTGGTGGCAGGTGTAATAGGTGCCAGGAAACCCCAGTATGATATCTGGGGCAATGCTGTTAATGTGGCCAGTAGAATGGATAGCACTGGACTCCCCAATCATATACAGGTCTGTAATCACCCTTAATGTTTATATTTTCTTGTATTGGATTGCTGGCTTGAGTGCTACTTAATTTTTTATCAGTTTGTTTATTTTTTTATTTGTTTGTTTATTAAATTTTCTAATTTAATTGAAGACCACATTGATTGTGGTATTTCAGCATTATCTAAGAAGTGCATTTTTGTTTATTTATTTATTTATTAAGCTTTATTTTAAGAGGGTAAATCTGAAATTTATCTTCCCATGTAGTTGCCACTTTTCAGAGGTTGTTGAGGCATAGAAATGAGATGAGGGTATTAACAAAGATTGGAAGTAATAAACTGTGTACAGATGGAACATGTGAACATCTGTGGTGTAATGTTCCAAGACACTGTTTTTTTTTTGTAAACAATTTGAAACATGAAGCATATTCTAAAGGATATTTTATATGACTGCATCTACCATTGTACATGTACTGTATGTGTAAAAATCAATACCAGTGCTTTTTTTTAAATCAATTAAAGTTACGATATTTTCATTACCTCAGGTGACCCAAGAGATATACAACATTCTCAATCCCCTGGGTTACCAGTTGGAATGCAGGGGGATTGTCAAGGTCAAAGGTAAAGGGGACATGGTGACCTACTTTTTGACAGGCCAGCCAATCAGCAGGTGTGTACGACTAAACCATGACAACGGACTATGAGACTTTGCCTTGTCTTGCGTGGCCCATGACTTTTGTTATTTCCTTGTGTTGATGGGTCTCAGACCCAAAGAATTTAAAAGATGTTCAAGCACATATTTGTTATTTGTTAGGGTGAAAATGAAATACAGCCCATGTATTTTATGTAATCCGTAAGAATTTTGCTAAATGGAACTTTTGATTGAGATAATGGGAATCAGTGTGTCAGGCAGAGGAGATAATAAAACTTCAAACATTGAAAAACAATTTCCACAAAAAAATTGTTAAGAATCTAAAAAGATGCCAGACAATGCAAAATAATAGACATCAATACTTATTTATAAGTTGAACTCAGTGTTGGGAAAGATCATGCTTCCCTGAAGTTTTAGATGAGTTTAGGCAACAGTTTTCAATTGTTATGCAGCCAATGTACTGTATTTGTTAAACTTGTATTTTAAAAAATGAATAAATTTAACTTGGTCGAATAATTCGATGAACTGCCACATGCCTGAGACCAAAGAGTGTGTACCATTGGCCATTTTTGGGACTTACTTTTTTTCAGCAAGACTTTCCTGGTATGAACTCTTGGACTATGCATGTTGAAGGGAATTGTTACCTGCATGCTTATATAACAGAAAAGAAGAAATATAAGTATGAACTGGGAAAAAACTCTTGTAAAGATTAATTGTTGGCTTACAATTACATAATGTACTATGAATGTTTGATGGGCTTAAACATCCTATATTGGGTTTTCTTATGGCATTTACTTTTGTTCAAGTGATTTCAAATACCTGAAGTACATGTAACAATTACTGTTGCATATGTAGTAACTGTGGGCACATTTACTATAATTTAGTTATGTTTATTATCCACGTTGTAAATTGCATTTTTACTCTATAACAATGATCTTTTGATTTTTCTATCAGAAGAAACCTTACCTCATTCAGTTACTGAATACCATTGCCTTTTTAAGTGAAATGATATTACTCTAACTTATTACTCAGTTACAAAAACTAACAAATGATATTTATGACTCTTCGACAGCATTCCTCAATTTCTTCATTAAACAAAGTTTACCAAATGCATTTAATTCATTTAAGTAAAAAAAAAAATACATGTATGGACAGAGTGAATAAGCTGGAACACCATTTGTGAGCTGCCGACACAAGTGCTGAAATATTTTGCCCAGATGTTTTTATTTTTTAATTTGACTCATTTATGAAGATCCATTTAGATAACAAGCTATCAGAAATAAAAATCTGAATGGTAATAGATACCAACCAGCCATTTTCAAATACTGAGAACAAGTATGCCCCTAAACATTTGAAATTTGTTAGATATTGGTGGAATATTTATCATTTTTGTATTTTATGAATGTTTTGTTTACTTTAATGTTCTTACTGTACATAATGACTTTCATTAGGTTAAGGTTCTGATATTTCTGTTGAGCAGATTACATCCTTGTTAGGATAGTCTGAAACAAGTTTTATGCAAGAGAAAAAATATATTATATTAATTTTAATCATCAACTACAGGGATACAATGGTGCCCAAAATCTATATTGTTCTTTTGACCAACTGGTCCATTCTGATAGAGCAGGAGCAATTAAATCTGGTCAAGAATTTAGGAAGACTGAAGTCAGCATTAGTGGGAAATTTAAGCAGATGAATAGCATTGCTCACATTTGCCAAAAATTTAGATGGGGCAAACAAACATTATATGAAATCTAATATTTATTATTTACCTTGGTTCATAGCATAATTACTTGTTATTGTTGTTACCAAGTACATATATAATCATTATTTCTGTGGCAACTTTTATTATTATTATTATTATTATTATTATTATAGGGAGGGTACCAATTGTTAAGCTCACTGGCATCTTGCTATTTGGTTCTGGAAAACACTGCTATAAGTGGGCTTATTGTAGGTAAATAGATGATACATGTAAGTGTATTTGTTGTACAATTGCAAAATAAAGTTAAAATACAGTCAAAATTTGCCCACAAAAATAATGACTTACATGCAATGCAAACCATTAGGAGACTATAAATTAAATGTGCATTTGTTTAGAGTTTTTTTTATAATTCTTATTTTTAAGTCCCTTATGAACATGTTATATACTATGTCTATGCCTTGATTTGTAAATTGATATTAAAACTAGTCCCTTCCATGATAATTTTGTAGTCATGTATAGCCCTTTATTTTCAAAAAAATCTGTTTAATGGTCAGAATGCTGTAATTTTTCAGGGGGATATTTTTGATTGTTATAGGCATGGAAGTTTGTGAACTAAGGCACACCTGTGTAATTTAATTTTAGCAAAAAATGTGTAGGGACTTGCTTCTACTGCGTTCCATTAGTGAACTCTTGTATTAAATTGAAAATCTGGAAGATATGTAATAAAGTACATGTTGAATTAAATGTTTTATTACTTTTAATTAATTGAAATTATTTATCCATTTCTATTTCCCTTAAGGGAATTCCCTATAGGAGTCTTTATTGTCGTTGCTATATACTAGTACAGCTAGGTACTGAAATCATATTCCTAACTTTTAAACAAAGTAAAATGGAGTCCGTGTCAAACAGCAGGCCTGTAGCCAGCAGTTTCAAAAGGGAGGTTCTTTTTCTGAAAAAGTGGCCCTTTTACCATGAAACGTTTACGTACCTACCTGTAGATAATTTTTTATCCAGTGGGGACCTTTTCCCAGCAAAAGAGGGCCGGGGTTCTTTCGACCTCCCCCCCCTCCCCAACCCCCTGGCTACGGGCCTGAACAGAGTCCACCCTCCATTTGGTTTGTATAGGTAGGGGTTACCTTTACGTACTCTAAGTGGGTCAACACATAGGGTGGGTCGTAGTACTAATCAACTGGCACAGAGAGAACTGAATCGGCGGGAACTCTCTTGTAATTCATATGATCCTGGACTTAGCGATGCCCTCCAACAGAGGTCCTTGTGGTTTGTTACAAAATTGAATGAAACTACATTTGTATAACATTCAAACTGCAGGGACCAGACTCCTGTACTGTAGGAGGGTAACTATTTGATATATCCATGTAGTACATGACCAGATAACAATAGAACTGATAACTCATATGTTTGTGTTTACCAGTACATAGACGGGCACGGTAAGCGTGCCGCCCCCCCCCCCCC